TTTCTATAATTACCATTATATTTTACTTTTATCGGTATCCTCATCCACACCTTTTTCCTTGTAATTATTTTTGTTTTTTCTTTTATGTTTATGAATTGCTTCATCTACATATTCTTCTTCACCTTTACCTTTATCTAAGTAAAGTGTTTGAATTTGCCTTGATCTTCATTTATGCCTTTATCATTACGCATCTTTGTTTTTGTTTTTAATTTGCCTTTATCCTTTTCTTTATCTATCTATCTATTTATCTATGTACGTACTCAACTTTCATTCTTGTATTGGTATTTTGCTAAGTGTTTTATTAGCAAGTTTTTGTTAAATTAATACCATGCGCATATACTCAAGAAGCACTGGTTTTCGTCCCAACCATTTCCGTTGCACCATTTCCATGTGCTCTTTCCGTTTAATTTGTCAATTTACTCCCAACCAACCAACCGCCGCTAAAGAAGTTTCGCTTCAAAAAGTTCTTGTGCATTGAACTAAACCTCTATATTTCTATCTTATTCAACTCTACGTCGGGCTCGAGGTAGAAGAATTTTATTGCATTTTCAGGTTTATTCAATAAATTTTTCTCGGTAAGACCCTCAAATGATCTCGAGGCTAACAGACCTCGGATTTGCATTCAATCCGTCGATGAACATAGGGATATAGAGGTTTGGTTCAATATGCAGAAACTTTTTTGTAAACACATTTTATAATATTCCCAAATTTAATTCATCAATATTTTAAATTGTTTCGCATTTCTTTTTAACTTAACTATGCCATTGTGCTCATTATTCATTCATGCAAGAAACTCTCATATTAAGGATTTTTATACGAACAAACATTCTAAAAATTGATTTTTTGCTGAAGCATCCATATTAAGTTCCTATGCTAAAACTTTGATTTAACAAGTGTCTGAGTAACAAGCAAATCTTGCCTAAAAATCTGCAGGCGAAAATTTAAAAACTTACATAAGCTGAAGGATAAATTCACTATTAAGCTGTTGAACTGCCAAACATTCAACAACAAATCTACATCACCCTCATAAACTCTTAGCCGCTAAGTGCACCAAGAGTATGTCATTATTTTCTTATGAATATATTTATACCTACACACCTGTGGCCGAAATAGCTCACTTGCTATTCAAGCGCAGTAGAAAGGAATGCAAAAAATTAAAACATACATTTTTCATACTTAAGACAACGAAGACATCAGTACGTAAGCAAGAAAGGCGATTGCATTTCCGTTAGAACAAAAGCACTTTCTTTGATGTGCAAAGATGTAGCACAATTGAAGATGTTTGAAGAAATGGTTTATCTGTTGTTAATATTGAGTACATTCGAGTACACAAAACACTCTATTGAATAGGCTTTCAAATGCATTCGGTGATTCAGTTTCAAATGTTGAGGTTTAGGGCTGTTCATTCTTTTCTACTTGGGTACCTCTTTAAATTTCACTCCGAGATGTGACCTGCTATTATGTCCATGGCTGTAGATAAATCTCTTTGTAGAGGTTTGGAAGTTGCCTCGACGTATTAACGTTGCAATGTGGCTACATGAATGCTGCTTCACTGTGGGTATTAAGAAGTTCTTATCATGTATACGTCGGTTTAAGAGATAACTCCCTTTTAATGAGCATGTGTAATTCCTTCCAGAATGCCAAAATTGGAAGTTCTCTCACTTTAAGTTTCTTTGTCATCTTGTTGGTTAGTATGTAACTACTTATGCCCGAGTCCTAGAAAAATCGGCCCAACCACAACGGTGTATAGCCAGAACGGTGTATATATATAAGTTGTATGAAAAAGCGCTCAAAAGTGTTCACAATCAGCTAATGACCACTTCAGAAAGCTCCTATGCGTGTGAGTTGAAATGGTTTGACCGTCTCATGCCCCAAGTAGCTACTGCAATATGAGATCGCAACAACAACATTAAGTTATACTGCTTACATTCCAAGCACGGACGGACTACTGTCAAAAACGAAAGTTAGTGCTTGGCTAGCTGAAGAACCGTCCTTGATCGTCCGCGGTCGCCTGCCAACTAGAAGGATTTTGCAACTTTGTTTGTTGGGGTTTTCGCATAGTGTCACAGGAAGTCCTTGCTGTTTGAATTGAGTTTCCGCGCAATAATTTGAATGAACATTCAAAGGACTCCACTGAGCTAGTAGGTGTTGCTTTTGGCCAATCTATGCTACTATTCAAATTTTAATGCTATTAATGATTGGAATTTCCAACCCAAATTTCGTCTCAACAACAGTAAATCTTGTCACATGGCGGTTTCCAACCTATTCCTCAACGTACTCTATTTCAAATGTAACTCACTGAGGCGGTTAAGGAATTTCGTGATATCGATAATTATTAATTTTACTACTTTAAGTACAAGTCAGTCAGTCTCATCGGGATGAAAAAGAAGCTGATTGCTCGCAAATGTTTAAGCAACGCGAAGAAGCTTTTTCCTCTTAACGAATAAGTAAGGGTTATCCCCACAGTCTTCCACATCTTCATAATTAGTCAATCAATTAAAATTTGGCTATTGGAAAATTGTTTTCTAATTTTTCTAATCTGGTTCTCATGGGCTCATATATGCATATATCATATCCATATTATTACATTACAGGGACAGAGAGGTGATTGAAAGTTTATCATTGTTTCTATTTATCCGACTTATTTCCGATTTTCCTGAAGCAAAGTCAAAGATATTTTGTATGCAAAACTTCAAAATTTTACAAACCAAGTAAAAACATGCGTGAGGTCAGAAAATTAACATTTCAGAATTAAATATTTTTTTAACTTAAACTCCTCCATTTTATACCTTTGGGCAGAACTCCCATAATAATGTAGACTTTTCATTTCGAACAAAAGGAGATCGAAATTTTGTTATAACATGACATAACTCCTATCCTTCCTTATTAACAAGAAAATGATTTTTTTTCAAAAATGAAATTTACTTTTTCCTTATCTATTCAACTTCTCCAAATGTACGCCAATACCTTATCAGTTTACCTGCCAATTTATATGATTCCATTTCCTACTAAGATTCTTTAGTCGATTAGAAGGAAGCCGTAAAAACCCTTTCGAAATTTATTGCCTCTTCCACCAAGGTTTCCATTTCGCAAGAAATAAGGTAGCAAAATGCGCATCCTTTCAAGGCAGACAAAATGAATACACGCGACATATATGTAACTGCTTATGTATGTATGTATTTAACAAATTTATTTATATCTTTCCACTTTTCCTCTTTTTATCTACTTTCAGCACGTATCCATTACAGTGACGATTTCCCAAGTGGCAGTGTGGGTGGCGGCGGCCAATTTGCGCAGCATTACATTAACAACGGCGGCCAGGCATCACAGGGTGCCACACCACATGGCTCGCCACAGCTCACACAACGACTTGGCCGACATTTAAGTAAATCCGCATCGGAATTGAATGGACACGACTGCCACGACGAACGCGACTCGCCACGCACATCACCGAAACGTGCCAAAAGCGCCGCCACAGCGCACAGTGGCGGTGGCGGTTCAGGTTCGGGAGCCAGCGGTGTCTTCCATAAGACGCACGGCTTTTTCAATACGCTGAAGCATCGTTGGAGTCGCGCGAAAAGTAAGGATCGCGCTGGTCGTAAGTCACCAAGTGATTTTCTTGAAGAGAGCACCGATTATGCTGCCGATTATAGTTCCGAGAGTAGCTCGGTTACACAAAGTCCACGTCATCGTGCCACAACGATAGGCGGTTCACCGTTGACGAAAGAATTTAGCGCATCGGCGAGAATGGCGCAAATGATACATCGCTTTGGTGGATCTATGGAGGGGCGAATCGAGGAACAGCCGGAGAATGGAAGCGGTAATGGTAGTACTGGTGGTGGTGGTGGTGTGGGTGTTGGATCAGCGAGTATGGAAGAATATGTGACGCCAAAGCACATTGAATCGCTGCAGGTTAGTTGGAAGAAATTAACAACTAAATATGACTAGGAGTTTTCGAATATTTCATTTTCCCAGTGTGTTTAAATTAATTTTTTTTAGTTTGTAACTGAAGGCTAATTTTCATTTACAAGAGAAATGGAGCGCGTGCGAAACTTAATTATTTTACTTTCCCGGGGCTTTAACTTGCTCTTCTAGTAAAACCCTAGAAATAGTTTAGAAGTTCCTACCAGAAATATGATAAACTGATATGCTTTCGACCGTAACCGCCTAAGGGTCAAAACATATTGGAGCGGCGACCAAAGC